ACCCCCTGATCGCCCTGCGGCTCTGTTTGTGACAGGGGGTGGGGCCACAACCTCCCTATCCACCCTGCTCTGTGTGTGACAGGGTGTGGCGCCCCAACCGCCCCCCCCACCCCCCCACGGGCCCTGCTCTGTGTGTGACGGGGTAGAGCCATAACCTCCCCATCGGCCCTGTCCTGAGTGTGAGAGTGGCGGTGCCCCAACCTCCTGATGGGCCCTGCTCTGTGCGTGACAGGGTACAGAGCCCCAACCCCCCTGATGGGCCCTGCTCTGTGCATGACAGGGGGTGGTGCGGCAACCTCCCCATCGACCCTGCCTTGAGTGTGACAGGGGATGGTGCCCCAAACCCCCAATCGGCCCTACCCTGAGCGTGACTGAGGGTGGAATCACAACCTCCCGATCGCCCTGCTCTGTGTATGACAGGGGGCGGCGCCCCAACTCCCCAATCGGCCCTGCTCTGAGCCTGACCAGGGGCTGCACCTAGGGATTGGGCCTGCCCTCTGCCACCCGGGAGCAGGCCTAAGCCAGCAGGTCGTTATCTCCCGAGGGGTCCCAGACTGCGAGAGGGCACAGGCCGGGCTGAGGGACCCTCCTCCCCCCCCTGAGTGCACAAATTTTTGTGCACCGGGCCTCTAGTTTATAATAATAAAAGAGTAGTATGCTAATTAGACCGGACATCCTTCCGGACAAAGCCTCAGCAGAGGCCCTTGGGCGGGGGTTGCGGCAGAGGCGGCAGAGGCCCCCCAGCCGCAACGGTGGGGCCAGAGGCAGAGGCAGCCACTGTGGCAGCAGGGGACCAAAGCCCTTGCATGAATTTCGTGCATTGGGCCTCTAGTGAGTAAATAAGAAGACAGCAGAGTCTGCCCTGTTAATTCAACATTCATTCAGGAATGTGAGCAGCCTTTTGTTGTCTTTGTCATTCAGACATTAACTGATAAACTTCTCTTGTCTCTTCCTTCCACCCATAAGCCTTCGGTAATTTAGTTTAGGATGTCTCAGAATTTTCTTCTAGTCAGCAGCCGGTGCTGCCTGGGCTGGGCCCTGACTCTCTCCTCCAGACTCGGATTCGCCCCTCCCCCCACCATCTCCACCCCTAGCAACAGGCCACTCAGAGTCTGTCCCATGACTAGCATCCAGTTTCCCCTTTTCTCTCCTTAGCCCAAGGAGCTGTGGGGTGTGACGCCTGGATGGGGGAGGGGGGCTTCCTGCCGCTGGCCCATCCCCCCAGTGCCCTAACCTCAGGTTCCTCCTTCCCCAGCCCCAGCCCTAGCCCTCCTGCTGAGGGCTAGAAGTCTTTGTCTCCTCCCTCAGTCTTCACTTCTGGCCACTTCCTCGTTTGGTGGAGCAGCCCAGCCCAGCCCCGTGGTCTTCACATTGTCCCCGACCTGCCTCACCCCAACCTCTAATCTTGTGTCTGTGATGTGTGTGTCTGTCTCACTGTCTGTTCCTCTCCCTCATTCTCTGTCTTACCATCATTTTCTCCTCAATCTTTTACATATATATATATATATATATATATATATAATTAATTTCAGAGAGGGAGGGAGTGAGAGATAGAAACATCAATGATGAGAGAGAATCATTGATTGGCTGCTTCCTGCATGCCCCTACTGGGGATCAAGTCTGAAACCTGGGCATGTGCCCTTGACCAAAATCGAACCCGGGACCCTTCAGTCCTCAGGCCAACGCTCTATCCACTGAGCCTAACCAGCTAGGGCTCCTCTATCTTTTATCTTGGTTCTTTTTGCTTTCTCTCTATGGGTCAAATATCTGTCTTTGGTTTCTGGGTTCCATTTCCACCTTTATTTGCTGTGTGACCTTGGGCAAGTGTCTTTACTATTCTGTAAAATGGGGATAATAAGAGCATCTATGTCAGAAAGGTGTTGTGGGGGTTAAGCGAGTTAAAACTTGGGGCAGAGTGCCTGCAATTAGTGGCCATGTCCTGATGGCTCCTTTTTAATATGCTATGAACAGCACAAGTTCTGATTATCTAATGATTATAGCTGGCGCTTATAAAATGCCGACAAGTGTCAGTCCCTGTTCTAGAAACATTAATTCATTTGATCCCACAACTCCCTACAAAGAAGGTACTATCTTACTCCCCATTTTACAAATGAGGAAATAGCCCGAGAGATTAAGTGACATGTTCAGGGTTGCCCAGCGGGAAGAGGCAGAGCTGGCTTCAACCATAGTCAGCCACTGATCCTCCTGTTACAATGTCTGACCCTTGACTGGGATGGAGGTTGAGTTGATATGTACCCTTTGCCCTTCATATCCAGCTAATGGGGGCTATAGCATTGCCCCTGGGCTGTCTGGGCCTGATTTTTCCGGTGTTATCTATCTCTGTCCCTCCTCCCCTACTGACCCCTCCTCCTCCTGCCACCACCCACCTCAGACTTCCTCCTTCACTTGGTTGGCCACATCCCACTGGCCCTTGGACTGTAGTATCCAGCAGTGTCGCCTGCATCATGGGGGGCCTTAGACCCTTCAACAGGCTTCTGTTCCTGCCTCTCCTTCTGACTGTGGGTGGTGAGTTGGGGGCTTCTGAAGCTGCCTCCTGAGTCTCTGGGCTCACCTTGGGGCAAGGCAGGGAACAGGGTGGAAAGAGAACCAAAGGGGAAGGTTGGGATAGAAGCAGGTCCCCAGCCCCCAAAACCCTATGGGTCTCTCCCAGAACCTGAAACTCCAATATTTGGCCTCCAGTAGAAGCAGAGGGAGGGGACTCTACGGGTGGTGTAATAGGACAAGTCAGTGTGGAAGTAACACAGTCCAGTGGCCTTTGTGTCAGCCACAGGTCCTACCAGAAGTTGCTCTCTACCCTCTCCCCCTGGCTGTCAGGACCCACCCTCCCCAGCTTCTATGCCCACCCTCCAGTCATAGCTCCACAGCTAGTTTACCTTCTTTTTCTTTCTTCAGGTCTCAGCCCTGTCCAGTCCCACTGCGGTAGGCCCAGGCCCTGAAATACCCCTCCCTATTTCTGAAAGACCTCCCCATTTCTTCCCAATCTCTTCAAACCTCTCCCCTGACACCTCCTCCCAATTCCCAACTCCCATTGATCTCCCCTGACTCCTGTGCCATATACATTCCCAGAATGCAACTGCTCTGCGGTGAGCCCTGGTGTGCTGGCCGGTATTGTGCTGGGGGACCTGGTACTTACCCTCCTCATCGCCCTGGCTGTATACTCTCTGGGCCGGCTGGTTCCTCGGGGGCGAGGGGCTGTGGAGGGTGAGTGGGATTGGATGGGGATGGGACACTCTGAGGACTTGCCTGGAGGGGAGGGGTAAGCTCCCAAGTCACAATTATCCAAGGGGATGGTGATGGTTTCGCATCAACTAAATAATCCCAATTTACCCCCTTGTGTGCCCCTGCACCTGTGCCACTCCCCACCCCCAGCAGTGACCCGGAAACAGCGCATCACTGAGACAGAGTCACCTTATCAGGTGAGGAAACCAGCTTCTCTTCCTTCTGTCTCATTCCTGCCCTGTGATGCCTGCCTTTTGGGGCCATAGACCCTCCCTCTGTAACTGTGAGCCCTAGTCTGTGAAATCTGTTTTATTTGTCCACAACCAGCTTTGCTTTGCCTCACTTGTGATGAAAAGTCTCTTTCTAAAGTGTAAGATCTTGAGTCTAGCTCTGTGAGGTCCATAAGACTGAAGGAGCCCTAACCGGTTTGGCTCAGTGGATAGAGCGTTGGCCTGCGGACTCAAGGGTCCCAGGTTCGATTCCGGTCAAGGGCATATACCTTGGCTGCAGGCACATACCCAGTAGGGGGCGTGCAGGAGGCAGCTGATCAACGTTTCTGGCTCATCGATATTTCTAACTCTCTATCCCTCTCCCTTCCTCTCTGTAAAAAAATCAATAAAATATATTTAAAAAGAAAAGAAAAGAAAAAGAAAAGACTGAAGGAGCTTTCCAGTTACTGGGAGCAGTGAAATATTAGGGCAAAGCATTGCTCCACTTTATTTGTTGAGCACCCACATGTACTAGATCAGGGGTCCTCAAACTATGGCCCGCGGGCCACATGCAAATACAAATATTGTATTTGTTCCCGTTTTGTTTTTTTACTTCAAAATAAGATATGTGCAGTGTGCATAGGAATTTGTTCATAGCTTTTTTTTAAACTATAGTCCGGCCCTCCAACGGTCTGAGGGACAGTGAACTGGCCCCCTGTTTAAAAAGTTTGAGGACCCCTGTACTAGATACTGAAGACATAGCTGCAGTGCTTACATCCTAGTTGGGTAAACAGAATTGAAGCAAATTAACAAATAAGATCATCTGGGGTGTGGGGGGAAGAAACTACAGATGAAGAAATCAAGAAATGCCTTTCTGAGGAAGTGACATGAGCTAAGACTTGAAGGGAAGGATGGAACCATCCATGGGAATATTTAGGGGACCAGTATTCCAAGCAGAGAGAACAGTATGTGCAAAAGCTCTGAGGCTGGGGCCTAATAATGAGGCAGAGGAAAAAGGGGAACTTTGAAGGCACCTGAATAAAACAGATTTCTAACATGGCTGCAAGGTTGAAGAAGTTACCAGGGGCCTTGCAGGCCACTGGGAGAAGGTTGGATTTTGTTTTAAGTTTATTTGGCAGACCCATTCCACTGATGGTTGCCACCCTGTCCATCCCTTTAGGAGCTCCAAGGTCAGAGATCGGATGTCTACAGTGACCTCAACACACAGAGGCAGTATTACAAATGAGCCCAAACCATGGCAGTCAACAACCCGATGCCTGGATCCAGCCATTCCTGATATCTACCCAGCACCCTATTCCTACTCCCACCAAGTACAGATCTACAGAGTGGCCTCTCTGAGTATCAGACTTTCCCTGCCCCCTGCCCCCAAATAAACATGGAACACAAAACACTGTTGAGTTATTGCATATCTCTGGGCTGAGGGGATGGGGATATTTGGGGTTCTGGGAGGTTAGGTCATAGACCCAGAAACAGCTAGATGGGAGGGAGGCTTTGGGGACCCTGGTTCTTTGAGGAAGAATTAGAAGTAGAGGTATTTCAGTCGCTTTATTGAATAGGTTTCCTGTGCCACCACGCACAATCCAGGATGAGAGGGTCAGAAGTCAGAGGTCCCAGTTACAGGGGGTCAGCCCCTGCCAGGCATGTTGATGTAGACCTTGCCATCTTCTGGGGGTGGGGAAAAGAAAGCATGAGGCCTGACCACCCACCACCCACCCACATCTCCACCTCCCCAGGGACCTCCTGCTTCAGGGGTTTCCTCAGGAGTTCCCCCAGCAGGGCCCCCAGGGTTTCCCCAGCAGCACCTCCAGGGCTTCCCCCAGGGGACCCCTCCGTGGGGACCTCTTCCCTAGGGACACCACCCCCAGTCCAGGCCCTGCCTTCACCTTGGGTGGGCCTGCCACGTGGGCTGACACACATAAACACCACCACCACGATCAGCAGAGACACCACAGCATCAGCAGCCACAAGGCCTGCCAGAAGTGGCAGAGGGAGGGGCCCACATCCGGAATAGGAACCTGGAGGGTGGAGGCCAAAACAAAAAGGTGGCTGCAGGGGATTCCAGGCTTTCAGGGCTGTGCTGTGGGCATATGGGCAGAAGTCCCTGATGGGTGACCAATTCCCTGGGGTTGCACTTGAGGGATGAAAAGGGAGATGGAGATCCAGAGAGAGTCTTGGGTATTCAAGCATAGTGAGACATGTGTTGGGCTTTGGGCATAGTGGGCACTCCTGACGAGAGGCTGGGGGTTGGCCAAGTCCCTGGGGCTTCAATTTGCTACAGTGAGATGGGGATCTGGAGAGCCACTGGGGGTATTCCAGGATCCTCAAGCTATACTTTAGGGATGGAAACAGTACCTGAAGTAGCATGGCAAAGAGGAAGGAGTTTTGATATCTCACCTGGAGTTACCTGAGCTGCAGCCACTGTGGGAAGAGAAAGAACATAATCAGTGGGAAAGGTGGTTCCCAAAATAGGTGCAGGGAAAGGTGATGTGCTCAGACGTAAGCTCCACTCCAAAAGAGCAAATGAGAAAGAGCGGCCAAAAGGTAGGGGAGCTCCCAGAAAAGCAGAGACAGGAAATCAGCAGAGATCCAGCAGTGAGAAGGGGAGATTAATAGGTAGGAAGTCCAGACTTCAGCTTCCCTCCCCAAAGAACCAGGCCCAGAAGCCAAATGGATCTCCCGGAAAAGAAGGGGCACTGGGAGAAGAATCTGCCCCCAGCACCCCTCCCTTCAGACGCCACCCAAGCCACCCCTTTCACAAATATCTGCCTGCCACTCCCCCACCCCCACCCAGTAACTGCTGGCTTCACCTGGGAGCAAAAGCAGGAGCAGGATGTTGCCTGGAGGGAGCATGGTGGGTTGGGGGCTGGAAGGGATTTGGTCCAGAGAGGTTCTGAGGAAGAGTGGGGGAGTAGAGAGGCAGCAAAAGCGGATGTCACCCTGCTGGTAGCAAGGCTAACTGCTTCCTGTGGGGGTGGAGGTGGGGCGGGGCGGGGGGAGGGGGAGGCGGGGAGGGAGAGGTGGTGGGTCCCTCTGCCTTTGGGGACCAGCTGGGGGAAGGGACAGAGACTAGGGAAGTTGCTATGATTGTCCAGGTGGGAGGTAACAGGTGGGCCAGGGTGTGGGTGGGCACTGGGGAGACTGGAAAGATTTGGGGGGTAGAGCCAATAAAACTTGTTGATGGAGTAGATAAGGTTGAGTGTGTGTGAGAGAGAAAGAGATCCAGGATGACCAAAGCTTACGGCTTAACCGACTAAAAACAGATGGAGCATCCTTAGACAGGATGGCGGAGGGGAAGCAGTTATGGGGCAGGGGGCAGGGAAGTGCTGGAGGTTTGGGCACACTGAGTTGGAAATGCCTGATAGATCTTTCTGTGGAGTTGAGTGACCACAGCTGCCTCTACGAGTCCAGGGGCTAAATCTCATCTGGAGATGTAAATTTGGGGGTTGATGGCTTATGGATGGTATTTAAAGTCACCAGATTGGATGAGATTGCCAAGGAAGTGAGTACACATGGAGCCCCCACGCCCGCCATCTCCCCCATCCCTTCAAAAATGCTGAAGAGGAAGAAACAGCCAGGGAAACTGAGGAGCAGCAAATGAAGGAGAACCACTAGGAGAGCACGAGAGCAGGGGAGACATGCGATTAACATTGTCCATCGGTGTGTGGACAATCACGGAGCTGGGAACTGAGAGCAGCCCCTCCCTGGAGTGTCAGTCAGCTTGAGGGCGGGAATTCCTGCCTGCTTAGGTCACAGCTAGAACACAGCACCCAGCAAAGTGCTTCCCCTGCGGTAATACATTATTTTAAATGAATGTATGAGAACTGACCTCTGAAAAAGGAGGTGATGTGGGGGACAGGGAGAAATTTGAGTCTACCCTTATCACTCTTACCTGCAGACCTTTCCTCCCTGGAGGCCAGGAAGTCCGGACCCCCAGGCCTCTCCTCCCCCAGGACCCAGTCCGCTAGCCCCCACCCCGGCCCAGCCTAGGGGCCAGGTCTCCAGCACCCCCTGGCAGAGACGAGAATTCCAGGCCTCCAGGGCCCTCCTGCTTCAGGAGTCCAGAGTCCCAGGCCCTTTTTGTTCAGACCAAGGTAGGGAGCCCCCGCTCTCTGGACCCCGTGGGGTCGGGGCTCAAGGTCAGCCCAGCCCCTTCAGGGCCTGTGTTTGCTGGAGCGAGACGCGGGGACTCCCGGGCTGGGGGCGGGGCCGCCCCGACGGGCGGGGCCAGACCCATTTAAACACTCGCGGCGAACAGGACCCAAGATCGGGGACCCGGCGGCACTGGCTGCGGGGTGACAGCGAGGCTGGCGCAGCGCCGAGGCCGGGGCCCTGGGGGCCCGCAGTCCGCCCAGCGGAACCCCAAAGGTAACAGAGGGTGGGCGTGCGGCCCGCTCCGCATAGAGCAGTGAGGGCTGGGAGTCGACTCGAAGCCCTGCGTCCTGAGACTGAGGGTGCCCAGAGTTTGGAGGGGAGACTGGACTCGGATTCCGGGTTCGAGATAGAGGAGCGCTTGCGCTTCTGGACTGCGGGGTGGGGGGTGAGGGGCCTGGGGTCAGGACTGCGGGGTGGGGGGTGAGGGGCCTGGGGTCAGGACTGCGGGGTGAGGGGTGAGGGGGCGGTGAGAGGGCGGCTCCCCGGACCCCGGGGAGAGGGCTGGCGGCGGATCCCTTCCCCTGGAAATCCCTGGCGGCACTGAGCGCCGGGGGGCGTGTGGCTTAAATTCAGCCTCGGGTCTCGGTGGGCAAGGTCGGGCCGGCCGCAGGGTCTGTGCGGGAGAGGCCTCCGCCCCCCGCCTGGGACTCCCGAGTCGCCCTCCCCACTGTCCGTCCCAGCGCCGTGGCTGAACGGGAATTCCCCGCGCGTGGGGATTCCGCGAGCGCCAAGCTCGGCCGCCCGCCCCGCCTCCGAGCGGACACCTGGGCGCAGGCTGCGGGGAGGAGGAAGCGGAAGGTTCCCTTGCGTGTGCGCGTGGCGTCAGCGCGTCGCGGCGTCAGAGCGTCGCCCCCCCTCCCGAGCTGCTTCCGGGTCTGGCCCCCCCCCCCCTTAACCCTTCCTCCGCTGGAACTCGGGAGGGTGCGGGTGTGGGTGCGGACGCGGACGCGAACCTCCTGGGTCGTGCCAACGAGGCGTCGGGAACGCGGGCTCCCGGGTCCTGGGAAGGGGCTGCCAGGCTCGCGGACTCGAGTCCGAGGTGCATCTCCGATGAGCTAGGCCCTAGGGGACTATGGCTGATGGTTACCCCAGGAGAGGGGCTGGGGATGCCTGGTTCCCCGAGGGGAGCATCAGGGCAGCTTCTTGGGAAGAGAGAGGTTGGGAACCTGTGTCCAGGCTGTGATGCCCGACCACCCCCGAGGCCTCAGGACTGGGAGGCCCGGAGGGGGGAATTTTTCACGGAAGTCGTGGGGGGATGCGCAGAGGGGCATCCTCCTCCCCCCGTCCCCAGTTTCCACGACGCTGGTGGAAAGTTGGCTCAGAGGGGAAAGTGCGGAGCGAAAGGAAGGAAACAGCGGAGGCGGGCGCCGCACTCGAAACTTTAGATGGGTCTTGGAGTTCTCAGGCGACATCAGTGTGCCAGTTTTTCCGTGCGGGACGGGACGGCGAGGAGGGTGCCCAAATCCCCGTCGCCAGCTTGTGTTCTGATGACTTCTCTCCCCTCTGCACCCCTTCACCCCCCCCTCCCCCCCGCAGTGAGCCGTAATGAGCGCAGCCACTGCCCATCGCAGACCGTGAAAAAGCTCCTGGAAGAACAGAGGCGCCGCCAGCAACAGCCTGACGCGGGTGGGGCACCGGTGAGGCCCATGAAGCCCTGTCCACTACAGCTCGCAGGAGGCCCTGTGCTGTGAGCGGGCCTGCTGGCTTGCTGGGTCCCCAGGGATGATGAGAGATGTAGTGCTGATTTAGACATCCTAGAGCTGGGGAATGGATGTTGAAGAATCTCCAGAGAAATTCAACCATGTTCCTTTTTCCTTATGTCTCTACAGGGACAGTTCCCACCTCCCCTGGCCCAGCCCCTGACTCCATCTGTGAACGAGGGTGAGGTTGGTAAGTCTGGAAACTCACCTGGTTCCTTTAGCTCCCAGCTCCAGCTTCCCTCTAGGACTCACATCCCCACTCTTAGAACTTTGGGGAACTTTAGGAGTCAGGCCCTGGTTCTTGCCAGGACCCAGTGTAAGTTTGATCTTCCAGAGATTCTCTGCAGCCCAGTAGTCTATGCATATGGTCCTTTGGTGCCCAGGGACCTCCCAGCCTTTCCTATTCTGGGAGTCTAGACCAGGGGTGGGCAAACTTTTTGACTCGAGGGCCACAATGGGTTCTTAAACTGGACGGGAGGGCCGGAACAAAAGCATGGATGGAGTGTTTGTGTGAACTAATATAAATTCAAAGTAAACATCATTACATAAAAGGGTACAGTCTTTTTTTTCAATAGTTTTATTCATTTCAAACGGGCCGGATCCGGCCCGCGGGCCGTAGTTTGCCCACGGCTGGTCTAGACCCTCAACCCCTCAGCATCCTAGGAGTCCAGGTCCCAGAAATCCAACCTTCCAACCCCTTGGTGTCCCAGAATTCTAGATCCTAGAAGTACTAGCTTTCAGTACCTTGGGAGATTCCAGGCCCTCACACAGGTCCTCCAGCCTTGGCTGTGACTTTCCTAACTCCAGTAACCAGGCCCGCCCCTGCTCCTCCTCTCACATGCAGGCCATACTCACTTCCCAGCCCACCAGGAGGCTCTGGGTTCTGGACTTGGCATCCTGGCCCCCACCACAGGCTTTCCAGACTGGAGCCCCAACACCCTTGCTGCCTACACAGACAGTGCCTACTCTTATCCTACTTCTGCTGCTGAAAGTTTCCTGACTTCTGACTTCTGCCCACTCTCGGACCCAGGGCAGCCATATCCATTTCTCCTGGGGATGGAGGTAAGATACAGAGTGGGAACAGAATGCTGAAGGGCCCCAAAGTTCCCAGTTGCCTTCATGCAGCATTCTGAGTTGTCTGGGGCTGGGTTAAGATCCCATTCCTCAGATAGGCAAAACTAAGGCCCAAAGGTCTAAGTTCACTTGGCACAGATGGGGCACGCAGCCACTTTACCTGATACTCTGAATATGTATGTGTGTGGTGGGATGGGTTGGGAAGAGGGACTCCTCAGCTGACTGGCTCTCCTCACCACCTGCACCCTTCAGGACCCCCTGGATACCCAGCTTTATGTAGAACCTTCCCTGCCACAGGTGGGATCCTGGAAAGGTTCTGGACTCCCCTCAGGACCCCCACAGTTACCCTCTTCGGTCACTGGACCATCCCTCGACTCAGCCCGTGCTCAAATGCTGGCCTTGGGGCCACAGCGGCTGCTGGCCCAAGACGAGGAAGGAGACACGTGAGTATAGGGGGAATAGAGTCTGTGGGCTCATGGCCCGGCTGGCCATCTGTACTAACTACTGTTCCCACCTGTCCTCAGGCTCCTGCACCTGCTGGCAGCTAGGGGGCTGCGTTGGGCAGCATACGCTGCAGCTGAGGTGCTCCAAACATACAGACATCTGGACATTCGTGAGCATAAGGGCAAGGTGAAGGCCAGGGGCTTGGATTACTGAATCTGAGGGCAGAGGGTCTGGGGGCCTGGATTCCTGCGAGGGGGCTGGGGCTCAGTCTGACTTCTCCTTTCACCTGCAGACTCCTCTCCTGGTGGCTGCTGCTGCCAACCAGCCTCTGATTGTGGAGGATCTATTGAACCTGGGAGCTGAGCCTAATGCTACTGACCATCAGGGACGTTCTGTCTTGCATGTGGCTGCTACCTATGGCCTCCCAGGAGTCCTCTCGGTATGGCTGTGGTAGATGGGGTCATTGATTGCCCAGATTCTGGCTTCTAGGACTGGGAGGCCTGGGGAGACCCTAATCTAGCTCTTCCTTCTCTTCCTCCCAGGCTGTGATTAACTCAGGGGTTCGGG